TGTATTTTTATTTTTAGTTGGTAGATAAACTTAATACCAATACTGAAATGGAAGAAGTAATGAATGATTACAACATGGTAAGAAAATTTATGAGCTGTAGATCAATATAGATCATATTCTCCAAAACAAAGCATTTATAGCTAGAAATAGTTTGATGAAATCTATGGACCTTAGAGATAGGTATTACTCTGATCCCAAATACCACTATTATAATTGAGTTCCCTTAGTTGTGCTTTTAAAATTTTTTCCTGTTCACTGGCTCTCCCAAATGGATGATACCGTAGTGTCTTTCAAAAGACTATGTTTTAACCGGTCCTGCATTTAGCATTAGTCAGGGAGTCCCATCCACATTTTCTTATATGTAAATTAGTTTGCATATAAATTAATTTGGTTTAATATTTGCACAAATGGAGCTGAGTACTCAATGGACATATTATGGTACCTGTATAGAGTTTGATAAGAAAGGGGGAAAAACAAATAGTTATATGATGCCAGACATTAATACTACTTTTGATTGGTAAATGAGATGTTAGCAGCTACTTTATTTTAATTATAAACATTTGGATGAAAATAACATGCAACTTATAACATAGCTTATCATTTATTTACACATTCAAAGTTCTGTGAAAACATAGAATTTATAAAATGACTCTTTTTTTCTAAATTGGGTTCTAAAAGCATGATAATTTAGTGAAATTATTCTTGGCTTTTAGAATACAGGAGAAGTCCCAATTGGAAAACTATTTTTAATGCCAAATGTAAAAAGTAAAAACTTTTGTATGTGTTTTGTCAGTTATTTGGGATAGGTCCAAATTCCAGGCTGAATATGTACAGGTAGAGTCAATTAGGAGTGCTCAGATACACTCCTGAGTTATTTAAGAATAAAATTTGTGTTGGGTCTAAATTTAACATATTATTAACCAACTGTTGAACATCCAATAAATATTTGAGATTTTAATTTCATAAATTAAGTTTACATTGGAGTACTTGACAAAATGAATACTTTTGATGTGAGATTACCATGCCTGTGAAGAAGATGTAAAAAAAAGATCTGGTATGGTGATTTGTTAATTGAAACAAATACTATATTTTTTTAAACTTTTTCATGTGGCATTAGAATTATTATAATTATCTCTCAATTAATTCACAATCTAAATAACCTTTAAATAGTTTGATTAAAATGGCAATTTCTTATCCCTCACTTTTGTGTTAACTCTTTATTTAGCTTAAAGCTCAAAATGATCGAGAAACACAAAGTATGGATATCATATTTACAGAAAGACAAGCGTAAGTACAATCCATATAGAAATAAAACATTTATAAGTGAGTTGTATTAGGTAGTTTAACTTCTGAGTCATATACTTCCTTACTGTTTTTCTTGTTTTTCCCTGTTGTACTCTTTAATTTAAAAAAAGTTGAATATTTGCAATGCAAATTATTATTTGAACATCTATTATCTTTATTTACTACTAAGTACTGAAATTCTGTACAAGTAAAAGTACTGTATAGATTAGATAGCTATAATTTCTACTTCTAGGAGTTTAAAAGTCTTAAGATGGATCAAAACATTCTTATCTCTACGGTTTATAATTTTAACCTGGGCTTTTTAACTAATTTGAATTATGAGATTTAAACCCCATTCTAATGAAAGGCACATTACTTACAGTATTTCATTATCTCATATATTATCCAATTATTAATTGATAATAGTTATATTAGTAAAATCCATATCATAGGTTTAGATTATATGTGCATATTTACATATAACTGGTTGAAGATGAAATATTAAGGGAATTATGACAGTGACACTAATGCCTACAAAATAATAAGTGGATGTCCATTTGGGCTGCTATAACAAAATATCATAGACTGGGTATCTTATAAATATTAGGAGTTTATTGTTCACAGTTTTGGAGTTTGGGAAGTTCAAGATCAAGGCACCATATGGTCCCTTTCCTGTGAAGGCCCTCTTCCTGGTTCATGCCTGGGGCCTTCTGACTGTGTCCTCAGGGGGTGGAAGGGTCTGTGGAGCTTTGGGAACTCTTTATAAGGGCACTGATCTCATTCATGAGGGCTCTATCCTCATGACCTATTCATCTCCCAAAGTCCCCACCTACTAATACCTTTAATTTGGGGGTTAGGATTTTCACATGAATTTTAGAGGGGTGCAATTATTCAGACAACGGCAATGGTTAACATAATTTTCTTCATCTGCATTTTGACCTTAAATATTGTCTAAGGCAATGCAAACATAGATGAGCTATTTTTTACATACATATACTACCTACATTTTGTCCCAAAAATATATCAATAGTAATCTCTTTGAGAGCAAGGATAATAGTTTACCAAAATTAACAAAATTCTGTAACACCAAATATACTGTCATGTTACCTCTGCATGTACAGTAAATATTTAATGAAAACTAGCATGTTAAAATATAATAAAAATTTTGAAAGATAAATACAATTCTTGTGTTGATCGAAAACAAAGAAATCTCTTCCCCCTCCATTATTTGATGCTCCTGTAAAATGCTGTCTTAAAAACTACATATACTGGAAGTGTCTTCCCTTGTACAAAGGAAATTCCATATTTCTGGTGACTCAGCTCTTACATGAAAACTTTCTTTTTTTGTTATTGTTGTTCTGTTATTTAGTGCAGATATTTGTCATTTACTTTATATAAGATACTCTTCTAGGTACCTAAAAAATAATATAAATAATATAAATAATATAGCCCATTGAAGTCCTTATGATATTTACAATATGTAAGTCCTCATTTATTTAATCATTTATCTACAGACTTACATAATACCTAGGTCATATTTGTAAATATTATATGTACATGTTTCATATCTATTTCATACTAAATGATAAACCACAGATTATAAGTTTGAGAATGTTAGAGTTTTTATTTTTATTTGGCTCATTTGGTTGAAGAAGTAGTTCTTAAAATATACAAGTTTGTTCTAAAAGTGTCAGCAGTTTCAAAGCTTCATATCCGTAATTTGTAAATGAGGCTGAATGAAATAGGTTCTCCTGACCCTTTTAAGAAGAAATTTATGAACAAAAGTTATTTTTATGAAGTTTACTTTTATATGCAGCAGAATAGATTTATTTTATGTGTTAAGCAGATAACCAAAATCTCACTAACACAAAGATCTACTTTGATACTCCTCATTCAGAGGGAGTAGGAAATGCCATACCTTTTGAAGGCAGGTGTAAAAAACTTCTGTTTTAATGTTCTTCTACTTTAATCTCACCATTTAGTATGGCATGACCATCTGGTTTATTACTGAACATCTATTCATAATAAGTTGGTTATGATATATAGCCTCGATATATTACTACAATTCTTACCCACCTGACTTTAATTCAGTTACATAGAGCTGCATGAGCTAATGATTTTCTTCAACTTCTGTTGTATATACTTTTCTAGTTTGGTATTAGTCAAAAATTAGTTATGTTTTAAAAACATATGTAATTATAATTTTAAGCCCATTTATTTATTTTTGTTTAGTTAGATATTTATTGACTACCCAATATTCATTTATGAGGCTCTTGAATATAAGAGATTAATGTAGTCTTTACTGATTTCATATTTACATTTTATTTTACTCTGTTTCTCAAATATTAATACTTGCCTCTTAAAATATGACATATTTGGTAAAATGATAGATTATTTAGAAAAAGATTCCTCATGTTTCTATTATCTCATTTATACTTGAGATTGAAAACAATGAAATATAATTGATAATATCTATTAGGAAATAGTATGCGTAAAGCATTTATATTCTTTAATGAATACTAAAAACATTTTGATAAACACAAGCAAATATGCATGATAAATGAGTTCATTTTCTATTTCACTAGGTATATCATCCTAAACAGTTTTTGTTTTCCTCATAGACATTTGAACTGAATTTATGTATTGATACAAACTTTAAAATGACTGCAGAATATAGCGTACATCTACATTATTTGTAGTCTCTTTTTTTCTAAGAAAGTACCAAGTAAATACACATTTTAAAATCTGTGTTATAGAGAAATTTGAACAAAAATAAAATAATGTACTATAGTCCTATGTACCCATGGCCCAGCTCCACAACCCACCCTGCTTCATGTACACCTTTAGCCATTGTTCCCTTTTCTGTATTATGAAGAAAATGGAAAACATCATTTCACCCATGAATATATTTCAGTGTTTTAGAGATACTTCCTGATAAATACACTTAACCTTCCCACCGATGATAGATTTTGTTACAATTTTAATGCCACTATTTCCATTAAATTAATAAAATTATGATTACAGCCAATTGATTACAAGGAATTGACTTTTAGACTCTTCCTCTAAGAGTGTTTTTCAGACTATGTTCTTTGGACCCTTATTGTGCTATGAGCTCTTAGTAGGCATAACTTAAAGAAAGGTTGGAAAATTCTTGATACTTTGCTTTTAGCTTAGTAAAGTTTCAGATGAGTCCTATATAGTAAAGAATCTTGTTTCACTTTGTTTAAACCTAGTATTTCCTATAGTAATTCTTTAGTAATTTGACCATGTACAAATTCCCCCCCGTCGATATTTCTGAATGTCTCTCTCTGGAAATTAACGTTCTAAAGAAACAGTTTGGGGAACGTTCCTCCATGATCTGGATCCCAAACAGTTGTTCATGGACCAGCTGAAGATTTCTCAGCCCCAACACAACTTATTTGAATAGAAATCTCGCTAAGAGACAGAAATATGTATTTTTAAAAATAAGATTATTTATAGATCTTTTTGATACCCTGCGTTGCGGTGACAATCTTTCTTTATAACCCAGATCAGTAATAATTTATTAGGGATTGTGCCTGGACATAATGCTATGCTCTAAATTGCTACTAAGTTTTCAGGGAATTATTGTGCCGATTCAGGGAGCATTAAAAAAATGTTTTCCAATTCCATGAATTCATTTGGTGAGCATAAAAAAATCAACCCAAGTGCATTGTCAGTTTAAGCTATCTCTGTTCCTTACTCTGACTTATGATATAAATCCAAAACCTTTATTTCTCTACTGATTCCAATAAGTAAAACATTAATATAACTTATCTGTATTATATCCAATATCTGAACTAATATGAGAATCAGTTTATTTTAATTAATTAATAATTTACTTTAGGCTTTTTTTTTTACTAGTATGTATAGTCTTCTGAATACTACTGAGAATAGTGTTGTAACTATTAGCTACCAAGGAGTGTCAGTTACAGTATTTGGACTAACTTTTTCAATACCAATGAGAAAAACATAATTTTATGATATTAATATGTGTTGCAATTAATACGAAGTTCTACTAGCTATAGTTAGGTATGTCACATATGAAAATCTCCATGTCTAAACTTTCAGTGAACTGGTAACATTTTTAAAATAATCAAAAATTGAAAGAAATTAATTTTCTTCACATAATTCATGAGTATCTATGTATTTGTCTTCAATAAACCCATCATCATCCACTACAAATGAATGTAGTTGTTCAAATATTACTGTAGTGTCTTCGGAGTTTGTATCTGGTATCTGTGAAAGGGAACTTGGATTTTGGGTAAAACCATCTTCATAGGTTTCTACTTCATGTTCTTCCAGGTGATGATGTTTATAGCTAAGCAGAATATTATACCATATTGGCAATTTGATAGCAATAAAAATGAGGAGAGAGGTCACCAGTACAGTCATTACAACACCAACAAGAAAAGCCCAGCTTTTTCCAAGAGGTCCATGTTCTTAAATAGGATACAGAGACAGGGAGAGAGAATGAGAGAGGGAGAGAGGGAAGATATTTTGTTAAATTGACAACAAAAATTAGACATCTTAATAACTCCCTAATATTGGTATTAGAAATGAATGTACTTTATAATTTTCTTTAAGCAAAAGTTAATAAAACTACAAAATAAACATATAAAGTTATTTCCTAGAGTGGTAAAAGACTAACTCCTGTCTTTACAGGGATTGTTTATCCATTCACCTAGGAACATTATTGATTTATACATTTTAAGAATTGTGACTTGCTCTGGTGATTTGGCTCAGTGGATAGAGTTGGCCTGCAGACTGAAGGGCCGGGGTTCAATTCAAGTCAAGGGTTCGGACCTTAGTTACAAGCTCCATCCCCAGGCCTCCATCCCTGGACAGGACATCTGTGGGAGGCAACCAATCGATGTGTCTCTCTCACATTGATGTTCCTCTGTGTCTGTCTCTCTCCTTCCCTTCTACTTTCTCTAAAAATCAGTGGAGAAATATCCTCAGGTGAGGATTAACAAAACAAAAGGAGAATTGTGACTTTACTAGTTAAAATTAAGCCTAAGAGTAGTTAAATAATATGCCTAGTGGCATTTGCCTGGTAACCAGCAGAGCCTGTTTTGGAAACCCAGTATTTTGTAAATCTTTTGTTGACATGAGGAATTTTACGTTGTTTCTAGTAACTTAAAATGCAGAAAAACAATGAGAACTAATTTAGTTTTTTAGTATGCTATCTTCAGTAATGTTAGTATTCAATACCAGTACATTACCCGAATTTCTTGTTAAGTTGTTCAAAGAGCTATTAAATGTTGAATTGCTAATTGACTGAAAATTAATCTGAAGGTCTTCAGCTATAGGTGAAGGAAGTTTTGAGTAGCATTCAGCCTTATAAGGTACTGTTTTGATGCTGTAGTATTTCAGTATATCTGGGTAGCTGCACATGGTGATGTTCTCATTTTCTAGTAAATCAGAAAGAATAAATTATGATTTATTATGGAAAATAAAATATGGTTAATAACATTTTATAATTATGTAAATTAGAATTTTTTGACATGTCATTATTGATACTATAAGAAACTCTTATATTGCCTAGCAACACAGGGGAAAGATGCACATTCTTGTTTATAAAGTTATTTTATAAATATAGTTACTAGGTACAGTATCTATATATTGTTTAGTTTGTAATAGTAAAGATGTTACGATTAAGATTGTAGTGAAAATCTGGGGAAAATGGGAGACTTTTCTGGGGCGAAACAACCAAAAATCAATCACATTTTTGGTTTTGATTAATGTAATAATGATAGCTTACCTAATGTTACATTGGATGTGTTTAGCCAATTCTGCAAATTCAGTAAACTACAGGAGCAGTTCCATGGATTTCCATGTAAAATGATTAATTCCAGATGAAACAGTTGTGGTACATCAAAATAGCTTATCAAATTGCCTTGCAGATTCAGAAGTTTCAGGTTTTTAAGAGGCACAAATATATCAGGATTCAGTTGTAATATTTTGTTCTGGCATAGATATAACTGTTGTAGTTTAGTTAAGCCTGTAAATGCACCTTGTTGAATTATGTGGATGGAGTTTCTACAGATATTTAAAATTCGTAGATTGGAGAGGTTACCAAAACTATTATTACATAAGATGATGACACTGTTTTCAATCAAGTAGAGCTCAGTGAGTAAATAATACATCTGTAGAATACTTGTGTCTGTAATATTCAGAGTAATTTGGTTATAACTGAGATCAAGTACAGTAACCTCTTTATTGATATCCGCTGGAATCAAATAATAATTCTGTTTAGTGAAATTACATTTGACTTCCTAAAAAATAAAAAAAGAAATGTATTAATCAGAAATATATTAACAGAATTTTCTAAATTTCATATCCTAGCAATTAAACATTGGTAGAAAATAGTTTAGAAAAAATCTACTGTCTAATCTTTCAGTATTATAGTGTGAAAAAGGAAAAGCTGATGCTTTTATTTCTTTATTGGGATGAAATATTGAAGATTAAGGAAATTCTGATATGTACAATTTATTGAGCAGGGAGATTCTAGTTTGTAATACAGGTGTCTTCTAACTGTTATTGTATAATCATTACAGAAAGAAAGACTTTTGGTGTATTCCCATTTGTATTTGTGGAAATACATGATGAATAATAATTCTGTTAAAAAATGAAGTCTGCTTTTGTCAAATTAGAATCTGGCTCAGAGGTCACAGATTTTGAATATACCCAGCTAGCTAAAGAGTTAGTTTTGATGGCGTGGTTTGGATTTTTTGTTTTTTTTGCTTTCTTTTATTACTTTGGGACATTCAAAGTGTACCTTTGAAAATATTTTCACTGTCTTGATTGTAAAAACTTACTGTTTTAAAAGTCTGGCTTTCATCTGAAAGTATTAGCATGAAGAGGGGCCAAAACAAGATCAGTAGGCATGTGGCTTTCATATTGCAGGCCTGGTGGAAAAGAGAGTATTGTCATGTCAGTAGGTGACTAGCACCTCAGAGATGATTGAAGACATTTTGCTTTCCTTTTTTCTCCTTTTAAATCTATTTTTTCTTAAACTATATAAAATGTGAAACAATTACCTGTTCCTTCACCCATCCCTATACTCTAATCTTAAATTAGAAAACTCCTACAGAGAATGAAAGACAGTATTTTTTTAAGTGTCTCATTAGTTTTTTAAGTGTCTCTTTGGATCTATTGAAAATAAGGTCCAGCCCTAGCTGGTTTGGCTCAGGCGATGGAGCGTTGGTCTGCGGACTCAAGGGTCCTGGGTTCGATTCCGGTCAAGGGCATATGCCCAGGTTGCCGGCTCAATCCCCAATAGGGGGCGTGCAGGAGGCAGCCAATCAATGATTCCCTCTCATCATTGATGTTTTTATCTCTCCCTTTCTCTCCCTTCCTCTCTGAAATCAATAAAAATATATTTAAAAAATAAGGTCCAGGAGAATATGTATTTATGTATATGTGTGTAAGTACACTCTTCTTTTCCTTTATATTTTTATCACCATTTTATCTCCCCTATACGCTCTTTCACCTCCACCCCCACCTCCCATAATTACCACACTGTTGTCCATGTCAATGAGTAGTATATTCTTACATTGCTATTTCTTTTTCTTTTTTTAAAATTAAGGTGTTCTTTATTGGTATTATCCATTTACCTACAAGTGTGAGAGACAAGAGTCTTTTTTCTTTTTTTAAAAAAATCTTTTCTTTAGATGACACACACCAGCCTTGTCGAAACAAGGCCACCAAAAATTTGGTTGCCTCCCCCAAAAAATTGGGAGCGAGAGACAGAGAGAAGATAATAAGAGTCTTTAGTTCTCTTTCAAACACTCCCTACTTTCATCTCTAACACAACAAATATATATACTTCCTGTCTTTTTAGTCTTCATACATGGTTACTTATAATTTGGGTTAGATGAGTATTCCGTGTGTCACAAACGTGTAAAACCATCAGTGTCTGATCCATATAACAGGATTACTTTTCTATTCCTGCTCACAGTTTTTCACTAAATTATATGTACTGTGTTGTTGTTTTTATGGGCTTAGTTTTCTTCTTTTTTAAATGCATTTATACCCAAGCCCTTTAACAAATCACTCAATGTTGCATGCATTTTTGATATTTAATGTGCTTAAAGAAGTCTCTCCCAGCGCCTGTTGCCATGCTGTAACCTAGAGGAGCTGAGGACTGTACCCTCTACACAGCTGCTGACTTCCACTCTCCCTCCACCCTTATGGAAGACATTCCCTTTTGTCTTTATGGTTGGATGCCTGTGTTCTAGAATGCCTATCTTGGGTTACTGCTTTTTTTTTTAAATGGAGTTTTCTGCAATAGCTTCCTAAGAAGGTCTATAGGCGGGGAATTTTTTTAGACCTTGAAAGATAATTTGGTTAGAAGTAAAGTTATAAATAGGAATTGTTTTTTTCTCAAACTGTTGATGGCATTGCCCCATTGTCATAGGGTTTTTAGTATTACTGTTAAGAACGGTGATGCTATGCCATTCTAGTTCTTTATCCTTTTATATAACTTGCCTCTTCTTAAGGTTTTGAAATCAATATTCTGAAGTGTCATGGATCTTCCTGAGAATCTGTTTTCATTCATGAAACTGGGTACTTACTTATGGGTGCTTTCACTCTGGAAGCTCTATCCCTCAGTTCTGGGAAACTTTCTGAATTATTTCATTGATAATTTTCTTCACCATTTTTTTTAAGTCTCACTACTCTTTAGAACTGCTTTAATCTGGTGTTTGGGTGTTGGATCTCCTAGAATGATTTTCTCATGTTTTATCTTGAATTGCCTATATTTCATTTTATTCTGCTTTCAAGGATATATCCTCAATTTTATTGTTAATCTCTTAAAGTTTTCCTTTACAACTCATTTTAATTCTAAGAGGTCTTTTTGATTTCTGAAAATTTTCTTTAATAGTATCTTATAGCATAAGTTATTGTGTCTTGTATCTTCCATGTTCTTTTTTCCTTTAATAGCCTCTATGTCGTCTTGTTATGTTTTTCCACTTTATAATGGTCAGTATCCTTTATATTAGAGACATTCTGTCTTCATATATCTGTTAATATTTGGTTTGCAATTTACAGATAAGACTGGGAAACAAAAAGCTATTTGGATACAACATTTATATAGGTCTTATTTCTGTAGAGTAAAAAACTTATTCAACTATTTCTTTGGGAATCCCTAAATGTCATTATCTTGAGATCTTTTCCTAGGACTGGTTGGATTCCCAAAATGACTTTTCCTTTTTTGGTAATCCTCACCGGTGATATTTTTTTCCATTGATTTTTAGAGAAAGTGGAAGGGGTGGGGGGGGAGACACACACACACACAAACACACACAAACACACACATTGATTGGTTGCCTCCTGCATGCACCTCAACCAGGTCCCTATGCCCTTGACTGGAATTGAACTCTGGCCCCCTCAGTCTGAGGGCTGATGTTCTAACCACGGAGCAAATGGACTAGGGCCAAAAATGACTTCTCTAATTTGACTGAACAGATAAAGCCAAATGACTAGCATTTTGAGAGTGGAATGGTAGAAAAGGTGTGTTTATCTCAATAATTAGTATGTAAACCTTAACTTACTTTCCCCTTTTTTTTTTTGGCACAATGATCCTGGTGGTGGAGGGAAGCCTTAATCTTCTGTTTATATGGGAGAGGAGCTTTACCTGACTGGACAGAGACAGGCAGGAAACGTTAAACTAGAATCTAGCCCCTCCTCTACTTCCAGAACACCTGGTGCTGCCAATTTCTGGGCCAGTTTGGCATTTTGCAGTGTAAATCCTGTGGCTCCTCAGCTTTCCACTCTGCTGGTTCAGGAAAATTTTGCTTTCCCAGTCAGTTTCCACTTAACTATTAACTGTCTAGTTTCTAGGTTTTATTGCTGTTGCGTCCTTTTTCATTCTCTTTGTTCTTATGAGTTTATATTCCTTCTTGCCTTTTATTTACATTTCAGTCAGGTTTGGGGGAGAAGTCAAAGTTAATGGGAGTATTCATTATACCATCTTTCACTAGAAGTTGCCATTTATTGGAGTAATTTCTTCTTGCTTAATAGTTACTTTCCATTTAGTGATTTTACTCATGACATTCATGCTTCTTGTTTTTATATGTGCATTTTTTTAAGTCAACACTAAAAATAGCTGTGAACAAATGATGTTTGAAAGGTATGAATATATCATGTTAGTACCACCCTTAGTGGTTTTCTATAATTTGAGTCTTATTTTTCTTTTGAGCCTTTTTATTTACAGCATATGTTGTTTAATGATTTTTAAGGAAAAGTTTATTCTACTAGAGCAGGAAGTAGAAAACTACTCAGAATAAGCAAGACTCATTTTCACGTTACTAAAGTCTGTTGTCTGTTACCTCATTAGCAATTAGGTATTTATTGTTATTTTGATACTACCCTATTCTAGTTAATCTACTCTTTGCCTTCTATTTGTTTATGTGTTTATACTTATTTCCCTTCTTCCTTCTCCCTTTCTGTAGCTAAATCAAATTTGTTAGAAAAAGCCACTATTCCTTCTAGATATTACAACTTGGATATAGATCATAATAGAATCCCTTTTAGAGTCAGAAATGAGTTCAAGTTATCACTTATTCCAGACCACTGCCCACAAAAGAGTATCCCCAAATCGTATATAAAAGGTATTTTGCCCATGTTCAATGGTCTCTTGGAATGTGTGCGGCCTCTTCATTCTCTCGTTTCAGTATTTCTCAGTGGTGTTGTGAAGTTCTTACTGTTGTCACTGGCAGGGTCCAGATGTGGGTAAAGTAGAAGTGCTATTTTTTTTCTGGAATAAAAAGGATAGGGATCATTAAAGGAAGCAATTAGACGACAAAGAAAATTAAGTGAACTTAAGTAAAAAATTGATAGGGAGTGAAGTAGCTGAAGGAGGTAATGGGGGTCAGGCAAGACCATGAGCCTATATGGAAATAGAAATAGGATCCTCTTGTATTTATTATCTTTATCATCTATTTATTGCTAATCATTATGTTCTCCAGTGTGCTAAAGGAAATAAAATTATAAGAATTAGAAAAGAAGTATTTCTTTCTCTTTGATAAATTTTAAAGTTAGAAGCAGTATATTCTCAGAGCTTAAAGTAGATTCTGTATAAGAAAGCATTCAGCAATCTAAAGCATTAGGTCTAAAGCCATTAAATGCATTGATTGAGCTCCATGATCAATGGGACTTTCTGTATATTTGTTTATTTTTTGAGAGGCGAAAAATTGAGAAAGGGGGTAGATGTTGACCATCCAGACACTGAATGGATAAATCCCTAGACAGAGGAAACATTTGCTAGCATTATTGTCTATCTTGAAGAAATCAGATTGCCAGAATAGCTAGCCAGTAGATTATGAAGAAAATGTAGTTGAGTCAATTTACCCTATTTAAAAAGTTGGACTTTTTTCTCAATTTGAAATTTGGGTTTAAATGTAGTGATTAAAAAATAGAGAACAAAAATATCAGTTTACTTTAATTATTTCACAAATTAAATGCCCTTTTACATAACCTACAGTCTACATAGAGAGAAAAAAAGCTTTATATAAG